TTATGTTCTAAGCCATTATGAAAAACAATCATTTAAAGTTTCTTACATATTGTGAATCATAGTCTTGATCTAAAATATGAGTGAAAAAACTTCTCTTTGAATTCAGTGCTAGGTAAAGCTTTGCTTTCCTTAAAGAACTCCTTCACCCTTTTGAAAATGGCAGTTACGTAACCGGTTGTGGCATTTGGCAAGCGAAAAGCTCAGTGGTTTAACTTGCTACTCAATGGTATGTTTACTCTTATCTGTATGTTTTTCCTTGGATCCTGTCTTAATGTTTCCAAATATTTGTTTTTTAAATTTACTCTGCCTGTCTTTTAGACTTCGTTTGAATCCCTCATTCAGTGATGTGGTGGTCTAAATAAATAACAAATTAAAAAAGGGGATCAAGTTTGGAAATAAAATAATATGACTCCCAGGAACTCCCATGGGATTACTTCCTTACTGCTCAAATCAATGTACTGAAGTTTTCCTCTTTGGGAATCAAATCAAACTCTACTTCTGGTAGAGTGTGACTGGGAACAATTGCTGGAAGCTCTATCCCAGGGAGATATCATTCCAAGGAGTTAGCTAATTCATTATTTGCACCCAAATCACAGCATGTTAGAGTTTTATGTACTGAAGCCTTCCTTTTCAGTAAACTAGAGAAGAAGAAGTTTGAAAGCATGTTGGGGAATTTTGTTTTTTTCTCTTCCGTTAATGCATGAGAAATTTATCCTGAAATTAGTAGGGAAAGAATCTTAGTCATTCCTGATGGCAAAACAATACTTTAAATGGTACTGAAGCATCCATCTTATACAAAAACTGCTGTTTGAAATTTTAACCCTGCTATTTGGCTTCTGTAAATGCTTGCTTTCTTAAATAATAAGGAAATTAAGAGTACTCCCACTTCAGAGAGGCAATTAAACCTTCCCCAGACAAGGTAATCAGTGCTAGCACCAGGCCAGGCCTTTGGTTGAGGTCTCAAGGCCAAGCACATAGGGGCTCTTTAAGAACTTGCAAAGGGGGCCGGAAACACCCCATATTTGGGAGACAAAGAAGGTAAAACATATAAATAGGGAAAATTCCTCCATGTTGTGGCCCAGAATTTGAGAGACATTTTCCTCTGGACCAGTGTGTAATAAATATAACTCCATCTTTCTAAGTATTGCTTGGTTCTTCTCTGATTTTCTGAAACAGTACTATTATTTAAATGGTTCAAAATTTAAAAAATACAAAATTATATTTAATGAATTGTTTCTCTTCAAACCCTGCTCTTTGGCTGTCCAGCTTCCTTATTAAGACCAATTAATTTTATCAGTTTCTGGGACATCTTTCCAGAGATATTGTATGCTTATACAAATAAACATATGTATACTAGTAATTTCTTGCTTTTTAATAGAGTGTAACATACTTGTTTTGCATTTCAAAAAGTTGTGCACATAAGGTATCTTTTTTCACATAATGTATCTTGAAAATAATTTCATAATAGCACAAAGAGCATTCTCATTTTTTTTAAAGATACTTCATAAAATGTAATTTTATGGCTGTTTTGTAAATCACCAGTCTTTTATCAATGAACATTTATACCTTTTTGACCTTTTCTTATTATAAATGATGCTGACATGGACAAGCTTATATATACATGCCATTTCTCATGTGTGTTGTCAGAGAAATTCTTATATGTGGACTTACTGGCTCAAAGATAAGAGCATTTATAACTTTGTTAGATATTGTGAATTGCTCTTGATGGAGGTCATTTTAATTTACAAGAACATCTGCTTTGTAACTGCCCATTTCTCACACTTTTGCCAACATACCATGGTTATCAAACTTTGTAACTTTTGTCAATCTGAGTAAGTGAAAAAATAAGTTTTCAAAGTAGTTTTCATTTGCAGTTTTCTAATGGAGAAAATAAGTTAGGCGAACTTTCGTTTTAGGACAAAGAGCTACAAAGTTATGGGGAATTATTATCTGAGCCCTAATGTTGTTTATGAAGTCTGCAGCAGGTCAGCATTGAAGATCAGAGATCAAGAACATGGCCACACGCCCAGAACAAAGATGGAAAGAAAAGTCAGCAGGCCTCTGCTAAAGCATATTTGCCTCCACAGAGTCCCTGACGATGTCCCTAGAAGGTAACCGTTCTTGTAATGTGGATGCAAATTAGAAGCCCAGTTTCAGATTCTCACAAAAGTTGCTTCTAATTACTTACAGATGGTGTGTTTTTAAAAAAATATATTTTATTGATTTTTCACAGAAAGGAAGGGAGAGGGATAGATAGCTAGAAACATCGATGAGAGAGAATCATTGACCAGCTCCCTCCTGCACACCCCTACTGGGGATGTGCCTGCAACCAATGTACCGTATTTTTCGGACCATAAGACGCACCAGTTTTTAGAGAAGGGAAATGAAGAAAAAAAGATTCTGAAACAAATAGTGTCCTAAAATATTTTATGTGCATTAAAACCCAACATCACAGTCATAAACACATGTAATCAACCCTGTAAAGTAAACAGCAGCATTTAGAACCATTTTAGAGCCGGGCAAGCACACAGAGACCACACAGAGCCGGGCAAGTAAAAAAACTTTTTTTTTAAAGTATATGTGTAGGCTATATTTGGACCATAAGACGCAGGGACTTTTCCCCCCCACTTCTGGGGGGAAAAAAGTGGGTCTTATGGTCCGAAAAATACGGTACATGCCCTTGACCGGAATCGAACCTGGGACCTTTCAGTCCGCAGACTGATGCTCTCTACTGAGCCAAACCGGTTTCAGCTGTTTTCTTCTTTTCTTTCTTTAACTAATCCGTGGGAAAATGAAGTAAAAACAGCTTCTATATTTATAGATATATAACTAGGGTACACTACAGAACTGTTGGGGGAGGGGTGGACTAAGTCATCTGGGTCACCTGAGGGTTATAAAGATTCAATGGTATGTCTAACCTTAGAGTACTCTGCTTTGGAAGGAGGCATGCTGCTAATTAGCATAATTGCCTGATGACTTACAATGTCCAGTGGTTTGTTTTTATTTTGTTTCTGGTGCTTTTGCACAGGGACAATCGTCCAATGGGGTTTAATGCCGGCTCCCTAAAAGCAGTCACATGCCTTTTCCTAGAGTCATGCATGTGTTAGTTACACGCCTGTCTTTACAACAGGAACTTCAAAAGTACCTGAGAGTTGTCACCGGGTAATGAAATAAAAAGGGAAGACTGGGAGGGAGGCCTGTAGAGTTTGCACTTGCTCTTCGCTAGCTGTGTGACCTGGAGCAAGTCCCTTTGACCTTTCATATCTATTAAAAAATGTTTTTTAATCCTCACCTAACTCCCAATCTTTTTAGAGAGAGGAAGGGAGAGAAATAGCATTATGAGAAACACCCGTTGGTTGCCTCCCGTGCCCATCGCACCAGGGATCAAAGCAGCAATCTAGACATAAGAGTGGGTATGCAACCTTTTGGTGTAAGGAGGACACCCCAATCAACTGAGCCATGGGGCCAGGGCAAGCCAGGGACCTCTCCCAGCTCCCATTTCTCCAGTTGAAAAATGGAGATACCAGTCTGACCGTATAGGCAGGCCCCTGGGTCTCATTGAGAGGATAATGGAACACTGTAGGCATGAAAAGGCTTGACAACCGTAAATCCAACACATCTGTTACTGATCTAATATTGACAGTGTAGAAACTCAGTCAAACACAGTATCCTCAGCTTAAGTCTACTCCTCTCTAAAAGCTTTCAGCTCGTCCCAAACAAGTAATCAGAGACACATTTGGATTCAGGTTGACATTTCATGATCAGCAACATCCCTTGTCAGTGGCAAGCAGAAGAGCGTCGTTGGGAAAAGCTTTGCACTAAACATATGCTCAGGGAAGAGAGTATTTCATGGGCCTCGCAGACAGCCAGGGGTGGAATTTCTCCACCAGCAAGGAGCCAGGCCTGTGTGTGTGTTGACTGAAAAGTGGGTCGCGCCTGCTTCCCAGGTGTTCCCGTGTCCTCAGCGCTTTTTTATTTTTATTTTTTTATCTGGAGATCTCACAGCTCGGGAGCGCCTGTCTTTAACCTTTAGCAGGTATTTGCTATAAACCTCTCAGAGGTGAAGATAACGCCTGGTGTTTGCTAGTAAACCTCTCAGAGGTGAAGATAATGCAGACAATCCTACCGACCGGGAGTCGGACTCTGAAAAAACAGTCCCTGCTGGTTCCGTGCAAACCTCCGAATTGATAACCCCTCCAGGCTTCCCACGCCCTGCCTCCTCTCCCCCACCCCCTCCGCAGCCGGGCGAGGGCCCCTGCCCTGGGGGCGAGGAGGAGTGCCGGTCGCCCCGGGGGTGTGCGGATCGCCCCGGGGGAGTGCCGATCGCCCCGGGGGGAGTGCCGATCGCCCCGGGGGTGTGCCGATCGCCCGCGGGGGAGTGCCGATCGCCCCGGGGGAGTGCCGATCGCCCCGGGGGAGTGCCGATCGCCCCGAGGGAGTGCCGATCGCCCGCGGGGACCGCGCAGCGGGCCGGGGCCGCACCGCCAGGTGCGCAGGCAGCCGCCGCGGGCGCCAGTCCACGTGGCAACAGGTGCGGCGTGGCCGGCGGAGCCCCGGGCGGGGAGCGCGCCCGCAGTCAGCCCGGGAGCGCGCGGGCTGCGGACCGGCCCGGGAGCGCGAGGAGGGAGCCGCGGCGAGCGCAGCGCGGAGCCGGGAGCGCGGAGCGCGGAGCCCGGAGCCCGGAGCGCGGAGCCCGGAGCCCGGAGCGCGGAGCCGGCCGAGGTAGCGCCAGCGCGGGTCCAGGTTCCCCGGGTCCCGGGCGGCGGGGCGCAGCGGGGGGCGGCGGGCGCGGGCCGGGCGGCCTCTAAGGACAAGTTTCCCAACTCCCCGCCCTCGCCCCGCCCCGCGGCGGCCGGGAGGCGGGGGTGCGCGGGGACACTGGGGGGTGGGGAGCGGCGGGGGCGGCACGGGGACTCCGGGATCCCGCCCCGATCCCGCCCCGCTGCAGCTCCGCCGCCGGCGCGGGTGGGGTGGGGTGGGGGTGGGGCCGGCCCGCGGGTGCCCAGGTGCCGATCGCCCCGGGGGGACCCGCAGCGCCGCCCAGAGGGTGCAAAGGGCGCGGGGGCGGGCATGCAGCGCCCCCGCCTCCCCGGAGCGCTCCCCGCGGGGCTCGGGCTGGATCCCAGGCGCAGAGGTGAGTGCGGAGTTGGTGGACTCCGGGGGCCCCGCCTGTCATCGGCGGGGATCGCGGGCCAGGGCTGAGGGAGGACGTGGCGAAGGGGTGGCGGGTCGGTATTCGGGGGGCTCAGGCGCCAAAGTTGGGGCGAAGTGGGGGTGGGGGGCGGCGGCGGCGCGGAGGCTGCGGGGAGCTGGCTCACGTGGGCGCGCGCAGCTGGCGCGGAGGGACGGATGCGGACCTGATCGCTGTCACCTTGACCGTGACCACGGTAGACCCGGTTCCCTGCAGACGGCCCCGCCGTCCCCCGGGCCCGGGGCCGCCCACCACACCCCGGCCCCGCCGGGCCCTGCAGGCAGACCATCCAGCCCTCCGGCCGGCGGCTGGCGGGGGCCCGTTCCCGGTGTCAGCAATCAGGGTGAACTTGGCATTGACGGGCTTGGGCCTCTTTCACCCCCTTCTCCTCCCCCTCCTCTCTCCCTCTCCCAGCCTTCCAGCTGCCTGCGAGTCCCTGTGTCCCTCTGGCTGTGAGGCCCCAGGTGGGACTCCTCTGTGATCGGTAGTGGATGTGAGTGTCTGCTTTCCTTAGAACTCTGTGTCTTTTCAAGACCTACCCTCTTTCTGCTGTCGTGTTGTTGTTTTCTGACTCGGACTTATTGGACTTATTTTGGAGTAAACACGGGGAGACGAGTCCTTCCTTTGGCCTGCCTGCAGTTTCACATACTTTGTTAACACTCCTTCAGCAGTCCGCGGGCTCATAGAGGAAATCCAGTGTGCTGGGTTTTGTTTGAATAAAATCAAAGTCTCAGGCAAAGCAGGGAGGGGCGCCTGCCGAGGAGAGCCGGGAGGAGAGCCTTCGTGTTTTGCCAGGTTAATGGGGATTCAGTCCTCGGGGCCGGGGCTGGCGGTGGACTGGGGTGGAGGTGGGGGTTAGTCTGCCTCCTTACCGCCACTCCTCGGTGGGGTGGGGTGAGGTGGGGAAGAAACCAGAGTTTCTGCTTCCTGGGAGCCTCGGACTTCCTCAAGGAGGGCAGAAACACCCAGATAACTGTGTTTGCTGAACACTAAAAGGAATTGCACGGTTGGAAAGGCAGTTCTGGAGACAGCCTTCTTTTTCGGGGATAATTAGGGCAGGAAATGATGGGCAATTTAAATAGGAGCAATGATGCCCTATTTGTATAGTACTTTACAATGTGCTTTCATAATTTTTTTCCCTGAGGTACAATACTCCATAGGAAAGTTATACAAAGAAATGATTAGAAACTACTCATCCTTAAGAAAAAGAACAAAATCCAGAGGAGTGGGATTTAGTTTAAAATAATGCATAGTTATGCATTCAACTCAAAATTCGCTTGGTGTGGAGCAAATAGTTCTTCTTGCACAGGACCTGCACCTTTTAACTACATATCACTAATTGAAGGTTACAATTTTGAGTGTTGTGTAGGATTATAAAATTATAGCTAGATTTTTTGGGTATTTCTTGGAAACAAAACAGCAGTTATTCGATTTGAGCATTTCAAAAGCATGTCCCTCATTTTGTTGGTCTTTATTTGTTATGATTTCAAAAGTGATGCATGCTTGCTGAATCAAAATTGGTAGGTTCAGGAAAAGTGTGAGTTGAATAGTCCACCCTGGCCCCTGTAGCTCAGTGGACTGGGCATCCTTTCTGTGCACTGGAAGGTTATGTGTTCGATTCTGGATCAGAACATATGCTGGGGTTTGTGGTTCATCCTCAGAAGGGGGCATGCGGGATGTTTTGTTCTCACATCAACGTTTCTCTAAAAAATAAAAACAAAAAAGTAGTTAAATAATCATTTCTTCCAAAGATAATCACAATATAACAAAGATATATATATATATATATATATATATATATATATATATATATATATTTTACAGTGGTGGTATAAATATACTGTTGCATGCTGATTTTTTTTAACTAACACTTGAAAAGGTACTCACGTTTTCATAGTTCTTCAAGAATATTATTTTAGTGACTACATAATATTATGTAGAAGTAACAATTTACCTAGCCATTTCCTTATAGCTGAACTTTTAATTTACTTCCTATTATTAAATATATACTGATGCAACAAACATTCTTTATAAAACTTGATCTACAGAGCATAGTTCCTTAGATGGAGTCCTTCAAACACAGTTGATTCACAAATCTCTGTATACAGATTGATTACTTGCTTTCCAAAAAATGTTATACCGAAGTGTGTTCCTATTGGCACTCTGAGAATACCTGTGCTACTATATTCTTGTTAATATGGGGAAGCGTCCTTAAAAGGAAAAATAGTTCTTGCTAGCTTTATAGGTGAACAGTGCTATCTCAATATTTAAATTTCCGTTTCTTTGATTGCAAATAATGTTGAACACCAAAACATCTAGTAATTTTTCATTTTCCTTCCCTTTTAATTTGAATGCAGTGCTATTTTTTTTTCTTCCTTGGGCATTAGCATTTTTCAGTCAATTTATAAGAGCCTTTTATGTCTTGATAATAAATGTTTGTCTTCACATTGCAACTATTTTTCCCAGTTTTGTTTTTGCTTTACAAAGACACTTAGCATATACTCGTAGCGGATTTGACTTATAGAAGTTCTAGACTTTAATGTAGCCAAATTTGTTGACTTTCTCAAAACACAATTTCTAACCCTCCCAAATCATAGTTGAAGAGCTGTGTATGACAGTGACAGAAGATGACTTTCAAAAGACCCCCTTCCCCCAATCCTGGTTTAGATGCTTATCAAATGTCAGAACCTGCATGCCTGAAGTAGAGGCTGCTCTAACACAGACTGAGTTTGTTGATGAGAAATGGTGTGCGTGGTATATACACACTCTTAGGAATAGCATTCCTGCAGATAAGAACAGAAAAGTTTTAAATTCCAGGGAATGGAAGTCTTTCAGACCTGCTCTTCGATGGTTATGTAAACCAGACTCACAATCCACTTACGTTCCGTAGTTCATCTCTAGTATTACTGTTTTGCCAGAATTCTTTTTGTATCCATATTGTAGTTTCGCATTGTTGACATAAGTCTCTCCTGATATCTATTATAGTTGGGTGTATAGGTAGTTCATAAGTTTTCCCAGATTGGTTTAGAATGCGACTCCTAGATTAAACTGCTTACTTGAAGAGGAGACAATGTCTTCTGGAATTCCCAAACTTGAGTTACCTTTCCATAATGTGGAAGCTTAAGTATACCCTGAGGACTTAAGTATACCCTCGGCTCCATCAGAGTCCAGTCCCTTTCACTCTCCACCTTTTAGAGCCTCAGAAGAAGCCAGGGGACCAATAAGAGCCCAGAGGAGGGGGTCAGTGTGTGGTGAGGGTGTTCGGGGACACTTACTAGTAGAAATGCGCCCAGACTCTCTGTTGAGGCCTCGTAGGTGACCACTTAGCTGGCAGGTGCTTGGCTGTGGTGGCTTGTGGCCTGCATAGAAGTGACTGGCTGAGGATGAGTGACCCCATTCTGTTATTTTTTTAAAATTTTTATTAAGAAAGAAAAAAAAAGGATTAGATGATATAGTCTCACTTTAGCCAGCCTGACACTTGGTTGAGAAAAGCCTGCTTTGACCAGGGTTCTTTATCCTTGGCCTAGGGCAGTTCAGGATAACCCGGAACTGAGTTTGGCTGTCAGCTACTACTCCTGAAAATGTATTTCTAAGCCAAGCTTTATAGAACATTGCCCTGATGATAGTTATTTTTTTTTTTTAAATGACCTCAGGCTTCTCTGAAATCAGCAGTTCTTTCCTTTTATGTGGGCAGTTACCCATGCATGACTTTTTCTTGTTCGCTTGGCTCATGATGAAATAGGTTATTCTGCTTCAGGGAGGACAGACTTGGGGGCTACTCCTTCCCCTGCAGAGAGATAGCAAGAAGACGTCACCTTCACACGCTGTGACCTGATTTGCTATTTGGGATTGCCCCGGTGGCTAACTTTTATGCAATCAAGGAAGAAATGTTGAGCAAATGTACAGTGTAAAACAAATTCAATTTAGAGGAGCTTTACTGAAGCAAATAGCTTGAAGCCGTTCACAAGTACATATTTGCATATAAACCTTTGATCCCAAAATCTTACTTTTAGTATATTATAGTTAGTAACTTTCCCTTGGCCTTCAGTTTAAACTCCATCCTGAAGAGAAATAAAAATGTATTTACTTAAAGATAAACTAAAGTTGCTTCAGGCCCAGCTGGTGTGGCTCAGTGGTTTGCGAATCAACCTATGAACCAAGAGGTCACGGTTCAATCCCCTGTCAAGGCATATGCTTGGGTTGCAGGCTCAAGCCCCAGTAGGCAGCATGCAGGAGGCAGCCAATCAGTGATTCTCCCTCATCATTGATGTTTCTTTCTCTTTCTCCCTCTCCCTTCCTCTCTGAAATCAATACAAACATATTTTTAAAAAATGAAGCTGCTTCCAGTTTCCCTTGAGGAAGTGTGTACTTCTTGGCAGGTTGCGTAGATCCCCTTTGGGCAGTGAAAGAAGATGGGCAAGTGCAGGTTATAAGATTCTCAAACTATCTGGAGAGGGTGAAGGGGTCGCAAGGAAGCAACTTCCAGGTAACGTGATTTTGTGAAAATATCATGCTAATTTCATGTTTTAGTAGGAGTTGGGCTGAGCAGAAGGGTGGGCCTGGCCAGTCCTCCACTGTGTACCCACGGCAAGATGGGGCGGGGGGAGAAGGGGAAGAAAACAGACTGGCCCAGCCAGCATGTTTCAGTGGTTGAGCATCCACCTATGAGCCAGGAGGTCATGGTTCAATTCCCAGTCGGGGCACATGTCCTGGTGCAGTCTCAATCTCTAGTAGAGAGAGTGCTGGAGGTAGCTGATCAATGATTCTCTCTCATCATAGATTTCTCTTTCTCTATTTCTCTGTCTCTCCCTCCCTACCTCTCCCTTCCTCTTTGGAATTAATACAAATATATTAAAAAACAGAAAAAACAGACTGGGAGCGTATCAGTCTTCCAGGGAAGGTGCCCTGGAAAGAAGGGTTAAAGTCGTCAAATTCCTTATCAT